CGGACAGTTACTCTTATTCAGTGTAAATGTAACTTGCTTACATTTTTGCTCGTTAACCTTTATTCGCCAGTTTGCGAGCCAATTGGCAACAGTTTCCATATAATTGCCTAGGAGCACAGTTGCTTGTAGAGGCCACTTGGAGCGTCTGATTATGGCAGTGTCATCGGCAAAAGTGGACATTTTCAGGCGGTATTTTGTAGGAATATCCGCGGTGTATAAGACATACAACATCGGGCCAAGGACACTGCCTTGTGGCACTCCAGCTTCGATTGCATGGGCTTCAGAGATGGTGGTGTTACATCGAACTGCAAACTTTCGATTATTAAGGTATGACATAAGCAGTTTGTGTGTGCTTTGTGGGAGTAGCATCTGTATTTTATACATAAGACCGTCTAGCCAGACGCGATCAAATGCTTGGACGACGACGAGAAATATTGCAGCGCAATATTTGTTCCCTCTTTTCAAACACTGTTCGGATTTCGGTTGTTATACGATTTACTTGCTCCATTGTTCCATCTTTTTCCCTGAAGCCAAATTGGTGAAGTGGTATTATGTTGCGGGCTTGCAGATGTGGGGAGATGCGCAACATAAGAAGTTTTTCGAATAATTCCGACATACACGGTAGCAGGCTAATGGGCCTGTGGGGGTAGATATTTTCAGGAGTTAAAAGCCCTTCCGAAAGGCCTTTCTGATTCCCTTCTCCTTTCTTTTTTTTTATGAAGTGGCACAAATTGAAGGGCTTCTTCTTTCGCTACCCATGGGTTGGCCTCTAAGGATGGCTTTACTTAAGAAGGCCTACCTAAGTTATCTTCTGGGATAGGAAGATGGCTGCGTTTTGTCCTTTCCGGGTTTTGGTATCATCACAATAGTCGACTTCTTCCAATGGTGAGGGAAATGACAATGTTTTGTGATTGCGTTAAATAGCATACAGCTGCAGGTTGCAGTTGATCCTTAATTACTTTTGAAATTTCTTCAGGTACAAATTTTAGTGGCTCACATTTTGACATATTGGGC